ATCTTCATCTTCCCTAACATTCTTATTCAAGCCAATCTAAAAAATAATTTTTTTTGATAAATAACAAATTCAACCCAATTTGGTCATGATTCATTAGGTAACGAAAGTTAAATGGCCCTTTGAATGATGATGTCTCATTAGCTAATGCAATTTGCGTATTGTAGCAAGTCACTTTTCTTAATGTACCACACAACATACATAAGCATAGTTTTAAAAATCAGGTCGGATCCGCCGGTTCATCCGATTCAATAGTAAGACCGTCTCTACACAAATTTAGAATTAAGTCAGTCAAAATTGTGGCTGAACCTATCGAAGTTTTAAAGAATTTGTTAGTTTAATGTTGTATGATTTTGGCATTTTTACTATTGGTCGGATAGCTTAAAATATCATATTTAAATTAAGATTGAAGACATTGTTATGTCTCAAAATTTTGATTTATAATATTATTCAAAATATCAAAGTGTGAAATGTCCTAAATTAAAATATTTTTATTAAATTGATAAAAAATAATTTTATTATATTATCAGTATGTTATTTAAATATGTATTTCGTCATTCGATTTGACATACAATTCAATTCTGATTGAACCATTGAATTTTTAACCACTCATTCTTTTAGTTTAATATATGATAAGATTTTCACTTTCTTGCACCTAGGACATGATTACCAATAAAGAACTTAAATATTTTGTTCCTAGTGAAATTGACCTCCTCTCATAAGCAAATCTTCAAGAGTACCAACTATATAACCAGTTAAAGTTGGTAACAACTATCCCAAATCAATCATCAAACTAATCAATTTGAGATGCACCAAATTCAATCCATCTATTTCTAGCAAGTTAATCTAGCTTTCTAATGTTACTTATCATTAAGGAGTAGTCTATCAAATGATATATCATATTTTTCCTTATGTATTCCTCTACCATTTTATAGCCAAATAAAGCCTACCTAAAATTCCTTCTATATAAAGGGTAAAATGAAAATCAATCATAATTAGAGAGAATATTAATTCTAACAAACTACTAAACCCATCGTATCCACTAGAATAAACCTCCACTAAGTAAATTCTTCATAAACTCTATGCATCACATGTTCCCTCAATGTTCTAAAGTTTGGAAAAGTTAAGTTATTGCTCTAGCACTTTAGAACACTGTATACATTAGGAAAAAATTAATATGCGGCATGTAATTATCCTGAAATTAAAGAGGCAAAAGCTCAAGTCTACAATTGCATGGGAAGGGTTTTTAGATCCAATGATTTAAATTATGTTTAATGCTATTGATCGATGCTTTGACTAACAAAGACAAAATATGGTGGGGCAAAAGACTCTTGCTTGGAAGACTATTTTTGGGCTCTCTTAATGCATCCAATGCCTCTAATGATAAATATACACCAAACACTCTGCACAAAAATATCTTAAATAAATGCACTTTTATGAAAATAAGAGTGATACCTCTAAAAATATATAATAGAAAATTTAAAATTCATAATAAAAACTATAAGAAAAAGTTAGGGTTGTTACGTGCATGAACATTCATTGTGGTAGAGTAATAATTTAATGTTTTAACGTTACACGTAGATCCAACACATATAGATAATAGAAAAGTGGCAAGAAAAGACATTAGAATTTTTTATGTGGAAAAAACCCTTGAAAGGGAAAAAAATCGTGAGATTTAGCTCAATTAAAATAATTCACTATATGTTTGTAAGTAGATATGTCAACACTTCATCTTAATCAGAGAAAATGAAATCACAATGTTGATACTCGTAGATGTACAATAGCAGTTTAGCAGTAATAGTAATAATTCGGCTCCAACATATATAGTTCTTTGTTTTTAATAAAAATAATTGGCCACAAAGGTTGTAATAGAAAATTGTAACAGTAGTATATGGTCACAAAGATTGTAGTAAGAGGTTGCAATAGTGTTGGTTGGCTACAGAGGCTGTGGTCATATAGGATGCTGTTGAAAGATATAGTAATAGTTGGTCATATATGTCATAGTTAAGGGTTGTAATAACGTTAGATGGCCACAAAATTCATTGTTGAAAGTTGTACTACTTGGTCACATAAGTCGTAGTTGGGGTATGTAGTAACGTCAGTTGCCCACAGAGATCATAGTTAGAAGTAGTAGTAGTAATTTACTACATTAGCTATATTTAGGGGCTACAATAGCATCAATTTTATTGACCGCTATGTGTCGATCAATCATCTTGGGTTTGATCGGTCATCCAATGTTGATCACCCCATCTCTCGAGTTTGATTGACCGCTACACGTAGATCACCCGTCTTTGGTTTGATTGGTCATCCCGGGTTAATCACCCTGTCTCTCGGGTTTTATCATCCATTACGTGTTGATTGCCAATCGCCCGTCTTGGGTTCAATCGATCATCTTGGGTCGACCACCCTATTTTTTGGGTCTAATCAACTAATATGTGTCAATCGCCTGTCTTAAGTTTGATCGGTCGTCATGGGTCCATCACCCTCTCTCGGGTTCGATTGACCACCACATGTCGTTCACCTATCTTGGGTTCAATCGTTCGTTCCAGGCCGACCAACCCATGTTTTGGGTCTATCAACCGCCACATGTCGATCACTCGTCTTGGGTTCGATTGGCCATCTCGAGTCGATCACCCTATCCTTTAGGTTAGATAGGTCGTCCCGGGTCGATCACCCTATCATTTGGTTTGATAAACCGCTACATGTTGATAACTCGACCGACCATCTCGGGCCAATCACCCATTCTTTTGGGCTCGATCAATTACTCTGGTTCAATCTGCTCGCTTCTTTGGTTCGACCTGCCACCACGACCCGATTGACCGACCGCTTGCATGCTTTTTTGCTTATGCATCATATTGCATGTATAAGTGCTTGCATGATGTTTGGTCACTGCCTCCTCGGTACCCATCTGTCGGGCCACTGCCTTCATAGCATGCCCATCCTCAGGTCACTGCATCCTTAACATACGCATCTGTTGAGCCGCTGCCTTCACGGGATGCCCATTCTCCGGGTCACCGCCTCTTCGACATACTCATTTGTCAAACCCCTGCCTTCACGACATGCCCATCCCTGAGTCACCGCCTCCTCATCGTACCCATCTGTCGGGTCGTTGCCTCCACAACATGGCCACATTTCAGGTCACTGTCTCCTAAACAGACCCATCTGTTGGGGTGTTGCCTTCATGACATAATCATCCCCGAGTTACTGCCTCCTCGGCTTACTCATCTATAGAGTCGTTGCCTTCACAACATGCCCATCCTCGGGGCACTACCTCCTCAGCATACCCATCTATCGGGTCGCTGCCTTCGAGACATGTTCATCCCCGAGTCACTGCCTCCTTGACATACACATCTGTCAGGCCCTACCTTCATGACATACCCATCCTTGAGTCATTGCCTCCTTGCCATAACCATCTATCGGGCCCATGTCTCCTTGATCTGTCAGGCCCTTGCCTTCATGACATACCCACCCTCCGGGTCACTACCTCCTCTGCACACCCATCCTTCCTCTTTTTGCCTCTAGCATACCCATATTTAGTGTCTCTGCCTCCACGACATACCTGTCCTTTATGAGTCACTTCATGCATGGTACACTCTCCCTCACCACATTGTTGCACTCATGTCAACTTGTTGCATATATTGCATGCTTGCATGTGTGATCGGTGAGTGCCTCTCAGGTAAGGTGTGAATCTTTTTTATTAATATCCTTCTACTCGATGCAAAGTCATTTGTGGTTGATGTCTGCTTGTCGCATGGCGCCCCAGATCCTCGGGTGGGCATAATTCCTCATAAAGGTGGCTCGTTCTTATCGGTACATCTCTTTCGTGCGTGTCATTTTGCTTGTAGCATCCTTGTACATATTTGAATGATGCGTGTTTCATCCTTTTTGAAACATGTTCTGGTCGTTTCGTACTTCAGTTAAATACTCACAATGTGGGCCTCTTGAACAGTCATATTATGGGCTTCTACCTTATCAACACCTGGAGAAGCCCCAAGGGAGGGGATCCACGAAGATGGCCACAGCTACTCCGGTTTCAGGTTTTATGATGATGTTTCTTCTTTTACTTGTAATTTAGGAGTGGATTGTAGTTCTCCTCCTATCACACTTTATGATGATCATGAAGTACGAAAGAAGAATGTTTTAATTACGTCTCTATGTATCATGTATATATGTTTATTGCCCATGACAATGATGATGATGATGATGATGATGATGAT